TGAAAGTAGACGCATAAACTTTTTTTAGAATGTATAAACAAATAAAAGGAGAGCTCACAAACTTATCTTTGTACTTTGTACAAAGATACAAAGATCTTTGTACACTTGGACAGAAAAACTTCACTCAATACGGGCGCGACACTGGTCTCAATACACACTCCTTGCTTCTGTATTAACAATAAATCCTTGTACACCACCATTGTTGAACTTAAATGAAAACAGAGTAATTCTAAAAATTGCTCAACGTTCACCCCGCTAGAATTTTGAAAAGGAATCACTCCAATGTCATAAATGCACTCCCTTACAGCTATCAATAAATCGTGGTTGGGGAATAACACAAAACAGGCCCTCTACATCAAAAAGTCACCGCATCACACATCTCAGGGTTTTCTACTTTCAAAAGCTCGACAACTGACAGCGAGTTGTCAACCCTAAACGGGTTTGCAGCCAGAGGGAAGTCGGGTGTCTCCTGAGGAGGTCCGCCACATGTATCTGCCGCGAACCCCTTTGTCACACAATGACCCTGAACGGCATGGCCTCTTTCAGTGACTTCAGTGTGAAGAAGACATCAAAGTGAAGTCCTTTTCCCTTCGAAACAGCAGACCTGAGCCTGTCTAGACCCAAGTCCTCACAAAGTTTCAACGCTGTTTGTTTGACCTTACACAAGGCCACATTATCGACCACTTTGAAGTTCTTACCACTCGCGTCCCAAGCCTTCACAAAAAAAAAACACACCCTCAGGTACCAAGACAACCCTCCTTCTTCTTTGTCTGTAGTCATTAACTTCAGACCTTCTCGTATACAAAAGGAGACAACCTTGCTCACGTTAGGCTTCTGACCCTGACCCCAAGGACCCCTCGGTAAAGATTCAACACCTTCCTGAATGTAAATACAGCGCTGACTTTTAATTATTTGAACAAAAGATTTTTTTCAGAATTTAAACAGTTGAGAGTCAGCGCTTTGTGCGTGTGCAACTTCTCTCTCCGTGTCCTTTTTGCGTTGTATTTACCCTTTTAAAATGCAACACCAACTAGCCCCACTGACCACTGTGCTACAATTAACTTCTTCTACTTTGGGCTTTTTAATTGTTTATACCATGGTGGCATGTTTGCCGAGTTTGCATCCAGACATATTTTACGTCAACACCGTAGCAGCGTCAAGGGTGAGAGTCAGACACTGTGCCTTCGCATTCAGGAAGGGGTACTACTCAGGGGAAGCCCTGAGCCTTTCCCGCCTCCGGATGTCAGAGGGCCACTCAAGAAGGGTAACGGAGATCATACATTCTGAGGTGTGGAGACAAGCAAGGCTTCTGCAAGATTCTTTTAAGGTATGGTGTTATGGCGTCTCCAGGGGCGAGAAGACTGCGGTCCACTTACTGCGGAAGTGTTTCAACGAAGCAGCGAGAAGCACCGAGTTTTTATGATCACAGATTAGGCTGTCACTATGTTCCGCCGCACCGAGTGGGAGCGAATCGAGGAACATTGTGGTGCTTGGGGACGTCCAGGTGCTGGAGGACGTGCGTAAGGTCCTGATTAAAGGTCCGAAGTTTGCCACACAAGAGGCGGTGCTTCCCCAGGTCTTGGTCTCTCTGGTTAGAAGCGTGGCGGGGAAGGCAGGTGAGGAACGGAGAAAAGGGTGCCTTCTGGAAAGTGTTGAATCTTTATTGAGAATTCCTTGGGGTCAGGGTCAGAAGCCTTACATTGTCAAGGTCTTCTCCTTTTGCGTAGGAGAAGCTCTAAAGTTAATGACCATGGACAAAGCAGGATGGTTTGCCCCTTGTACCTGGGGGTGTGTTCTTTCTGAAAGCTGGAGAGACGATTGGTAAGAACTTCAAAGTTGTCAATAATGTGTCCTTATGTATGGTCAAAAACTGACGCTTAAATTCCAAACGCTGCTTTCAGGTAGGAAATGCGGTCAGCTTCAACAACTGAAACTCCCTCTTGAGCATGACAGGCTTGTCGAGGGGACGTTTCAGTCTGGCATGCAAGTCCATGTCACCCTCATCCTGGGGCTGCCTCTCTGGGTCAATTCGATTAAATCAATGCTTCCATAACGGCGCGCACTTCTAATTATGTTTCTAGTGTATGACAACTTTGTTATTGGGGTTTTTGTTTCGAGCTGAAGTTTGACATACGTTGTGGGCTCAAATAATAGGTTTTTAAAGTGCAGGTCAATCGCCCGCCGTTTTCTTCTGTGGAAAATAAAAGACACTTACAGAGGAGTTTACAAGAGCCTCAAACAACAGAATTGCATTAACTGATAGCTTCATGCATGCCTAAAATCAAAACGGGGAGAAAATACGCCAGCACTTTCTTGTTTTTCTAAATGCAAGATTTTATTTAGTCTTAGTACCCTGTCACCATTGATCTCCAACCGCCAAGACAGACATCGTGTCCAGAATCAGGCAGCTTTGACTTGTTTTCCTGCAAGGTAAACGCTAATTAAAATCGTAGCAGTTAAAAAGATTAGACGAGTGGAAACAGCTCGCACCGGTGTTCACCAGAGTCTTATGTAGCGGAGAACTTCTATTGTGCATGTTTAGATAGACGCTGTGCAATTCACAGATACCACGATTTAAACGGCATAGAAAAACTAGCTGAACGAAGTCCGCTTATTGGCACCAGCATAAATCAAGTTATAAATCACTGCGAACTATAATACTTCTGAAGAGCTTAGAGGTTTAGTGCTCGACTAGGCCTAATTCCGCCTACTTCAATTCTGATCCGTATATTAAAGGAATAAGAAACCGCTAGATTTATATCATAAATATATTCGCTATGTAGATGATTACGGAGAGCGATAAGACGAAAAGAATTGCGGAAACCCGCAGCACTCCTAAATTATTCATTGAAATGATTATGACCCGCTTCGTGCGTCAATGGTTCCTAACGGCTTCAGAGGCGCACGGCGATGCTATATGTTCACTTTTATTGAGTAATGCTACGTCCTGTTCTCTCATCGGCTAATGCCAAGATCTCCTTGGATTCGGATAAATATTCAAATACTCAAGACTCTTCACACCGGACGCGAAATACACAAGTGGAAAAAAGACTTAAAAAAAGCCTCTCATTTTTCAGAATAATATTCCGATGTTTCTACGATGAGAACTTTACAATTCGAGGAAATATTATTACATGTCGAGAATGGTAAATGGCGCTTTAGAATAAGTGGCATCTGTTTTTGATCCTAGCAATGCCTCAAAAATTACTTTAAAAGTACTAAAGTAAATAACACTCTGGCTTTCGTTATGGAAGTGAAATGGAGTGCAAGGGGGGAGGGCCTCCATTACTATATTGAATTGAGAGAAGTAACACAGAATGTAAAATGAGTTCACGAGAGATGTACGCGATTCAGGGACTGAGAAATCGGGTTTTGCTTGGCCTATTGACGCAGCAAACTGGGTGTTCACTATGAAGCCATTTTCTGTATTCAACCTCACTGTAAAACGTATTCCTTATTTGTAATATTCACATTTACTTTTGGGCTCAAGGGTTATTATAAATATATTTTTACTTTCATAAATACCAGGTAAATATTGTCCGTGGTGAAAATATTATGTATTACCAAAGGAAGGCTAGATTTCTGCAGCACACAAATTAAAAAAATATATACATAATTTTGAGAAAAAAAATATTTTTTCAAAATTAGATATTAGATATTAGATCAAATTCATTTTATTAAATTGATTGCAATCCCTGTATCTAGAAAATATTCCGATGTTATCACTCTAAGTAGCTTTAAAAACGGAAATGAACGAAAAAGTGAAAGCCCTCTGAGTGTTCTCAAAACAAATTGTTTTAAGGGGTTATCAATTTCAAGGCTTCGTTGTTCCATTAGGAATACAGTTTACATACTTATTATCAATATTGCACAATTTAAGGTTGCCGAGGACGTTTCGCATTTATAGGGACTGTAGCCTGGATGACAGGAGCGAGCTCGGTGTATTAAAATGCGCATCGCCTAAACAATCGCTCGTGCAGCAAGAGCACCTACCTGAAGTATTAACTCGCACTTTTGACCTTAGCTACCGTCCACATTATATTAAAAGAAATTATGTTCTCATTAAATGCATTCATTAGCTGATTTCAGAAATAAGCCTGGTTAATGCTCTGGTTCTCTAGTGGTGCCGTGTTATTGAACGGGCAAGCTTGACATATCACTAATAACAGCGTGAATCGTTAAAAAAATATGATAAGTTAAATAAGCATTCCAGACCCGTTAATTTAGTAATGACTCAGTCTGGGTTTCTGTAACTGATTGGCACAAACTTCCCGAGTTCGGTATTCCTGTTGGCTCGGTGTATTATATTTGGGTGCTCCCGTTTTCCTTTTCTTTAATACGAACAAACGGATTAGGAAGTGCTCTTTTTTCGGCTTCCCATAAACGATATGATAAGCTGAATATTGGTTTCCCAAAATTCTAGTGAGAATTTAAGTGACTACAATTAAGATAAACACAATCAACATCTAAAAAAACTTATGTAGCTCAATGCTGCTCGTATGTCGGCATCGAGAAACAAACACACAAACGAGAGTAAAGGAAATTGAAATAAGTTAGAAAATATATATATGGACATGGGAAGTGCCTCTAGACTATACTATAGAATATAGACGGCGCCAGTGTCAAGAACGATTGCAACGCACGTGAATGCACTCAAACGGAAATGTCTGAGCCAGTTTTTATACACGACCAACAGACAAGCTTCACTGGCATCTGCGCAAGTATAAGCCCTACATTCGAAAGAAATTTGACCATCTCTGTTCAGCCGCAATCCCGCTGCTCACACATCATTAAAAAAACACGGAGTTTCCCCGCAGACATGCTGAGAGAATTCTTTGCGCAAACTCCTCACGCATCTTCCAAGCATGTTTGCAGCATGCATATGTATGCTTGATACACGTCTGCCAAAAAAAATTTTTTTTTTTACGAGTAATTTGACAGGACTGTCAAGCAAGAAATACACCTCAGGCAGTGTGTCTCTTGTATGATGTGTAAGCAGCTTGACCCCGGTTGAAGTGCTCTGATGGATTAAGTTTTAATCAAATACGAGCTTTGATTACCTCATTTGCACGCTTTTTGGCATTCCTCTTCTGTCTTGAAGTTATTTTTATTACCGCCGCAGCCTCCATAAATAAATGTTTTGCACGTCCACTCTTTCTTGTCGTAGTAAAACCTCGTCATGCGTGCCTTGCATCGTCCAGTTTCTGGTTCCATATAGCAGCGTTCTCCGGAGCTCTCTGCAGAAATCGTAAGACATAGTTAAGGTATTATCGGGTTCGAACGAAATGCGAACAGTGACGGAACTTCCAGCGCACCACCGGCGCAGCATTGAGGCTTGGGCTGTGCTGGGCGAGATTGAAACATATCGGAGTAGTGGGCAAAACCTCGCAGCCTCCTACTCCCCGCCGCGCAGTTTTATCAGTTTCCAGGGGTCCCCTTGGGAAGTGCGGCATTGGTTCACGGCCATGCGATCCAGTGTTCGCATCTGATTTGATCCCTTTAGTAGGTATGACATACAGGGCGCAACAAAGGTAGCCGTTTCTTTGGGGCAGCGGTAACTGTTTAAGCTATTTTCCTGCGAAATTCTTCAATGTTCGTAAGTAAAAACCAATTCCGCGGAAAGAGTGCTAGTGATACTGTCGTCCCATCGCCGCCGCCCCTCGTACTAGAACAACATCAACTATAGCAGGGCAAGCACCTTCTACATAACAAAGCCTTAGTAGTGAACTTTCGCTGGGTCACTACAAATTGACTGCAGAAACCACTGTTTTTGGTTGAGTATGAATTGCGATAAGCATTCGTCACGAGACAAGTAAATTGGTGTGTGTATGTTTATACAGGCTGAACTTAATTTGCCTGAACGGGCGACTTGTCTCTCAGCTTTAGATGAGCAATATAGCCAGTGCAGTAACACTGCTAGCCTAAGGTTTTTAACGTGCACCACGCAGTAGTGATACAAGATTGCACGCCGGTACGGTGCTCACCCAGATCGAAACGGGCAGGGATGGAGATTCAACCCAGCACCCCTGGGTCCTGCAGCATGAGTTTCCACTCCCCGTGCTCCGAGCTGCTGTGCGCTAGCCCTCTCGGCCACCGATCCCCCATAATCATAAGATTCACGACGCAGCTCACTTTCTCCTTTCCTTCTTCGAGAACGTTGAAACCTTAGGGGGTTGTTGTTGCTCATTGAAAGAAGTCCCGTTTCCGTCCCCGCCCTTGATGTTTTTTTTTTTTTCCTTTGAAGTATTCGAAACAATAACTCGTCCGCGTCGATCGTTTGTCGGCGCTTGTTGAAGTTTGTCAAAGGTACTTGTTACAGTGGGAGAGCGTCAGCAGCACTGAACGTTCTGGTGTCGCCGCACAAAAATCGGTGTTTGTCGCTCTAATGGGACGAAGCTATTGATGTTCAAGCTGTTTCACCACCATCATTGACCATGTACCAGTTAGCTGAACTCAACCTGATAATTGCATCGTACCTTGGGCGCAAATGTGAATGTGTGCATACTGCCGCTCCATGTATGCGGGGCGCGGGTTTATCCGTTTGCTAGCACTACGTCCTAGAGAAAGACGTCAAAGACGACGTCTAGGACGCCGTCTAGGACGACGCCTAGAATCATATCTAGGACGACCTCTAGGACAATCTCAAGGACGACTTCAAAAACGATTTCTAGGACAACCTCATGGACGACCTCGAGGACGACATCGAGGACGACGTCTGCATACGCGCGGCGCCTGCGTATACGGACGCCGAGTGTATGCAAACGTCCTGCGCATGCGGAAACGCCGCGCCGCCGCGCGGCGCCTCCGCATTAAAGGCCAGAGAACGTGTCGCAAAAACCGGTGAAGTAGCTAAAAAATGATATCCCATTAATATCATCAAGAAGTAGCGCAGGGCCACGGCGTCGCAGAAGGGCGAGTCAGGTATCACGAGGGGCTGCAGTTCTGCGTTTAGTGATGTTGCGATATAATTGCACACACAAAAAAAGAAGTGTGCATTGTTCATTTGGTCAACATTATCTCTCTCACTGAGAAGGTTTCGTAAGCCGTTGCAGTGTTTTTTTTAAATAAAAAAATAAAAGCTGCTGCTGTAATAGTTTGTACCGGCTACCTTAGCGACAAAGCATAATCAAACAAAGATACATCCGCAACGTTCTTTACTGCTCGTCAGCGAGTATATGCCACGCGAAATGAGCCGCGCTGTTCTCCTGTACTGCTAAAACCACTCAGCTTCTGACTCAGAAAAAGAAGTGATTATTTCGTTGTCTTTAAATAAATATAAAACGGAAACCACTCAAAAAAAAAACCTGAGTGACAGTTAAATTACAGATTTTTAACTGGCGTGAACCACTCTAAATGTTCTTGTCTTCCGCGCCTCATTGCATCATTTTGCTGCAAATACAAAAACCATAAGCTCCATACATTTTCTTCAAGTAACCCGCGGCGTGCGTTATTGATAAAGTATCAACACTCGCTCTTGAGTAAATATTCGGTAGACTATATGGCAACCCCTAGAAAAGGATATAGGAAGATACAGGAAACGTAATGGTCAGGCTTTGAAAAAGTCAAACTTACTCTTCGCATCCGCCGCCGCAATAGCGTACGCTACTAAAACGAGGAAACAAAAAACTGCAATGGTTGCTTTCATCTTGGACAATAGATATCGACGATGCCGTTCGAAGGCTGGCAATGGTCTTATATAATAGTCCGCCAGCATACAATGCCCCTAGCTATTTCAAGTTTATTTTGTTTTGTTCAAGAGAGCACTTGCGCTCGCACACATTGTTTCCAGGATTGTTCGAAATTATTCACATTTTTAGCAACATCTCCACGTGTATGTGGAAAGACAATGGATATTGTTTCGTGTACTTTACAGTAAACAGTACGTCATATCTGCCAAAAATTGAGCTGGGCACACCTTGAGGACGTGGTAAATATTGTTGTCTCAGCTGGATTTCTGTTTAGTATACTCTTACGTGTTATAAAACAGGTTCTAAACAACAGAGGCGCTTTGTAAAGCTATCGTCTTCTTCAGGTGCGAAGCGTTTAAATTGTAAAATAAGACAAAATGCCTGATGTTGTTTGGACTCTGATCTCCAATTCCAAGAAGCCAAAAGATCTGTCTGAACGACTAAGGACGGCTTGTAAAAGGTCAACCAAGGCGGCGTACCGACGCGTCTGGCAAAAAAATACTTTTTTGCATACCGACGAAAACCCCTACCGAATGGCACCTCGCCATCACAGAGACTTCTGGGTTACCAGATTAGATACCATCCTCGTCGCCACTTCTATGAGGTACGGTAGACAAAGCAGGGTAGGTTGTGAACAAACACGCGTTTTAGGCAGCCCGATACTTCTGCAGAACAGAGCGATGGTGATAACGATGATAACTACACTGGCGAATGATTACAAACTACATATCGTCATTCGTCGATGATACAGCACACGCCTACACAAAATTAAAAAAAAAAGAAACGTAAAGGGAATTTTCATAAAACCGCAATAAAACGATAAGATCGATTAAGCTGTTTCCACGTCAGATCGTACAATGACGGTCCGCGTTATATCTTTGATATTTTTGTAAGAACTATATGTGAAAGCCCTGTTCTTGGGAGGAATATTCAGCTATATGTGAATGTCGTATTTAAATGTTTCCCAGATATATCGAATTGAGAAGCTCGAGGCGTGGGCCTTGCCGAGATTTCGTTATGGTAATTTGTACAGGGCGCCGATTCCAAACCAGAGCAGGTACGTAGTCTTTTTTTTTTCATTTATTATATACGCAATTTACAACGATGTACAGCAAATATAATAAATTACAGTTATATATTTTTATGCGCAAGAAATCACGAAACACGTAAAAAAACGTTTCAGAGACACACTGTTCGCAAATTATTTATCAACAAACAACTTTATGTGAAACGTCCCAGAATAAAACAAAAGGTCCATCTTATGAGGCAACTTACGAATATATAAAAAAAATAATCTTTGCTTAAAAATTATTGTGTTTTTGTTATTAATGCAGAAACGTAAGTCATTTCTCCAAAAATGGCGAATTTGCACGTAAATATTTTAAAACTTCATTTTTTTTAAAACTCACCGTAACTCCTTGCAGTAATTCGAACTAACACTAGTGATGGAAAAATATTAGGTAGCATTTGAACTCCAGTTGAGAAAAGCGTCAACAAAGCTTCACTCAAATTGAGTCTTCATTTCAGGGGCCTCGCCAAACGACGTCGGCTCCAAGAATATATTGTCTAGAACCGACAAAGTGTGTACAACGGTGCTGCTTTATTGCTTAGCCGTAGAAAGTCGTCATAACATAAAAACCATGTGGCTATAAAGAAGAAAAAAAAGGACGACACAACACAAAATCTTTAGAAAATCTGACTTTATTCGACCACGCCAAAAAAAAGAAAAGCTCAAGGAAACTGAACATTACGTTGCAAAGATTTTACGAGACGTGGCTTGACAGGCTAAATCTATGCAACACTAGACACGATTCAGACAACAAGCGTCCGCCCCCAAGCACCCGCAAAGGTAATCTCTATCAAGACTACGAGAATGCAAGATTGCCTTGAAACCCAAGCGCGCGCACACAATGAAGGTCATTCACTGCGTAAACAAAGCGAGGGAAGTGACCTTTGACATGTTCTCTCCAAATGCTAAGGTGAGAGTTTGAGTACATCTCTCCAGGCTCCAAATCGTTGGTAAGCGTAACGAAACCAAAAAAGCAAAAAAAAAAGTGCTTTTGTGGTAATCACGTTTTATCTGTATTCCATCCACGTTACGTTACACGTCGATAATTTAAAATGGTGAGGTGATGTTGCTTGTCTTCCACCTCACAAGGTTCATCACCAAGATAGTGACCCCCTAAATACTGCCTCCCTCGGTTTGTTTACTGACTGTGTTATTGCCTTCTTTTGTAGGGAGCCGAAATGTAACACCAGCAATGAGGAAGGTGATATCAGGTAATTTCGCATTAGTTTCACATATCTTGAGCAAATAGTTATATCTTACAGCCATGGATATCTTCAAAGTGGTGGTAGTTGGGGCTGCCATACTTAAAAACGGGTTTTATAGCCTCCCATACGCAGATTTCTTCGGTAACATATTAAAAAAAAAAAAAACAGATACGACCCACATTCCAAACTACCTTATCGAAGAAATTTAAAATTTATATAAAAAATTTTCTCAGTGAAGAACACACGGGTTCCTTTTATATTTACTCCTAATTATTTACAATACTTTCACTATCCGATAGACATAAATGGTATTTTTCTTTCATACGTCTTTAATCATTTTTCAATTAGCCATATTTTAAATAAATTGATGGAGGTACATTAACGACAGCTTTTTATGTTTTTTGTATATAATATGTGTATATGGTAAGAAGGATGACCCCTTGTAATTGTAATCTTCCCTTGTAAAACTACTAATTATTAGACTTTTTTTATACTGGATCTTCGTATGATATTCAATGGAATAGGTAGTAAGTAGGGCTAGGCGTGGCTTAAAAGATTTCTCTAAATAATCGCCAGACTCTAATCAATTAATTATTTGATTAATTGATTGCTCTAAATTTCAAGAATAGTATCACAAAAATGGCAATCTTTATGCTGGACATTGATAGACTCCGCAATGTACATTTTTAGCTCAGAATACCTTACCTTGCTCAACTGAAGTTGAGTAAGGTAAAAAGAAATTGACATATTATTACTCCAGCTCCGAAGGTATAGTAGTTTTCTGATAGTATTCGACATGAGGGATTTTTGATTTTTTTTAGTCATTCACAATCCTTTTTGACGGCAGAGAAACTTTCGAACTAAAAGACGCGTTACTTTTCACGCGACCCGCACTATCTGAGGAGCGAGAAAACACTGCGATCGTCACCGCAGTTCACCATTCGTCATGTTGCTCAGGAACGATATAGCGAAACACGAAGGTTTTTCAGTTGACAATTCCACACCGTGTCCCATCGCAATTGAGCGGCACAACGATTGGCTAAAGTTGCGATAATCGGCTCCTTTGAGAAGATGGACAAAGTCCGTAGTAGCAAACACTATACTTGGGTCATCATGGCGGGAACTTCCCCAACGAGGGATTATGAAAAATCTATCCGCGGTCGTCGACACGAGGGGAGCAAAAAACACGCTCTAAACCCTGTCATGTGTGCCTTTTACTGGGTGCAATATTAGGGAAAGTGAAACTGTGTCGCATGAGCCTTTTATCCAGCTTGGGGAATTAACACGTCCAGGGTACCTGCCCTCCTTGAGGAGCCTCTTTGCTCAGGTTGCCGCGCTTCTGCGTGCCCAAGAAACGTCGTGACCGCCGTCGACTTGCTATATTAGCCAAAAAAAACAACAGATGGGCTTTTGGTAAATTGGACACGGCCTTTGAGTTGGAACCAGCCCTCTTTTAACCGTGATAAATGATGTCGTTATTTTTTAGTTTCCCCCCGACGAACAAGATAATGCTTGGGCTTTAGAGCTGGAGAGCACGTCAGTAAGGAAAACACAAAAATAATATTTATTTCGCACAGGTTTTAGGTCCAACCGTTTAAAAAGCCAATAGCAGTAAAAGTGCATGCGCTGTTTTCTTCATTGGGATTGCGTCATACCCCTGATTTTTCTTCAGAAACGGACCAGAAATTCAGCATAAATTCATTGCTATCAAGCCTCTCCAATAAGGGGGATATGTCTTCCCAAAAGCCAACTGTGTATGTTTTGAAAAAAAAAAAAAAAAAAAAAAGCTATAGTTCGTTTACCTCGAAATAGACTGTCAACAACCTCAGCTGCATCAAACGCTGCAACGATTGTTTGCAGTCTTTGCGAAGAGCGTTGCACCATATTGTTTATGTGCATCACTTTTGCTTTCTCTTTCATTTTTCTGTCAAACTTTCATAACAAACAACCAGCGTTGTACGGAACGGCGCTCCAAGGAACGGCGTTCTTGAAACGCGTTCCTTTTAGGAGGAACGAAGGAACGCCGCCGTTCCATTTTGCATCGATGGAACTCGAACAGGAACACGTTATATTTTTACGAAAACAAAAAAAAAAAAGGAACGGCGTCTTTTTTTTTTTTTTTTTTTTTTTTTTTCAGTGGGGTAATTGCTATTTCATTTCTAATAGGGAAGTTCTAAAAAAGTATAAAAACAATATCTTTTCTTGCTTATCTTAGGGTTTATTTTGTTCGGTCCTCGCCTGGTAACAGGTGGGTTCAGGGGAGCTAGTGAACATTGATTCGTTTTTCAGTGCCTGAGACTGCGGTACAAAAAGCATAACTTTTAGTTAAAGGGAAAGACACAGAAAGAGGGCCGTTTCGAACTCCGTTACTTTATTTGCTTCCACGAATCCTCATACACTCGAAAATCTAATGACGGCTACAGCCATCACTGAATTTCCACAAAGAAACCTGCAGTTACAACAAAATAACAGGTTAGCAGATATCGAATGCAGCCTTATATCCCGATCATTGACCACTTAAATTATATACAAAACGTTCTGCATTATTAGCGCCCGTTTGAATCTCGGTTTCCGTATTCTGATCAAAGTGTCCAAGAACAGGAGTCAGGAGTCTTCGCTTCAACTCGCCGAATGCCTGTTGCTGCACCTCGGCCCATCGGCCGAGGAGTTCGGATGCATTCTAACTTCTC